TACGTGTAGTATTTTGCTCTGCCATCGACAAAATTGAGATCATTTAGGAGGAGGGCAGCTTCGACAGTTTTTCCACGGTCATCTCAGACTGCCTTCCTGTTTAAGACAACGACTCTTCTCCTCAACAATTGGTGACCATCTTGGACAATTTCGACTGTACAAACGACCATTTCTCATTCCCCCTCTGTGCATTATATCTTATACTTTAATGACATTGTCCAAGACGTCCGCTTGTCTATTCTCCCTAAGGCTAGAACAGCAATTGGCTAAAACAGCACCTGGACATGGATGACTAGTGCCTCTATAAATAAATTATTGATGGTCAAGCTGAAACAGCACCTAGACATGGATGGCTGGTGCCTCTATAAATAAATCATTGATGGTCAAGGTCAAGGCTAGAACAGCAATTGGCTAAAACAGCACCTGGACATGGATGACTAGTGCCTCTATAAATAAATCATTGATGGTCAAGGCTAAAACAGCAATTGGCTAAAATAGCACCTGGACATGGATGACTAGTGCCTCTATAAATAAATTATTGATGGTCAAGGCTAGAACAGCAATTGGCTAAAACAGCACCTGGACATGGATGACTAGTGCCTCTATAAATACATTATTGATGGTCAAGCTAAAACAGCACCTGGACACAGATGACTAGTGCCTCTATAAATAAATCATTGATATGATGGTCAAGCTAAAACAGCACCTAGACATCAACGGCTGGTGCCTCTAAAAATGAATTAATTATTGATGATGGTTTATGGCTGCCGTCTTAAGCGATTTCCACTGTACGATCTTCCTCTTCTTTTTGCTCATCTCTTAAATAGACATCCAGGTCTCTAGATCTAGGACAAAAGCTGTTCTTCTCTATTGGTCCCCCTGGCTCCCGTAGGTAGAGTTTAGAGTTTCACGGCATAGGAGTGGCTGGGTCAATATTTCCTCCGAATTGCCTAGAGCATTGGCGTAGGCTTGTTGAAAATTCTGTACAGTAGTCCTACTTGTGTTCCTTCCCGTTTGGTTGCTATCTATCTATCTATCTATCTATCTATCTATCTATCTATCTATCTATCTATCTATCTAGCTATCTATCTAGCTATCTATCTATCTATCTATCTATCTATCTATCTATCTATACAGAAAACCACAGCAGACAAGATCGTGTACATGCTGGGCAAGTTGACCTACACAGGGACCACGGGCTACCAGTGTCAAGGCCAGACGGTGGCAGCCGGCCAGGAGTGGTCACTGCTGTCCACAGATGAACGGGACAGTGTCCGAGGTACGTTCAGATCCTTCATTCATTGTTACTGGTGTTCAAGGCCCTATTGGAAGCTATGGTAAACGTTTTTGGCCCACACGTTTGAATGATATCTATCTATCTATCTATCTATCTATCTATCTATCTATCTATCTATCTATCTAT